GAAGAGAAGGGGAGGGGAGGCTCGAAATCGCGCTGTTAGAGTAATCAGCGGCTCGTCAATTTTCATACAAACATCGAGAACTGAAAGGTTAGTCCCATAGAAGTTTTATGTTATTGCGTCCTGGGGGCTCCGGCAACTCTGCTTTCGGTGGAATATGTTTTACGGGTTTATCGAGAAACGAATTTGCGAAACAATAACAATAATGAGCCTCTATTTCGACCGATATTGGATTTAAAACGAATTAATGAAGTATTGAGTAAAAAGGAGGAATTAAAGGGAATATTAGTGGATAGGAAAAGAGTGTGTAGAGTGTGTATTACTATGAAAAAAAATAAAGTAACATAGTATACAAGGTAATATAATGGAAATGTCTATACGAATTGGAACAATAGCAGATAAAATGTAGAAAAAATGATACGTTCATTTTTCATAGATATGCATGTATGTACACTGAAAATAACACACAATAAATACAAGTATCGAGTAAAATGATGTTATATGTATACTGGTATACATGAAATAATGTACAAGAAAAGCATCAAATATAAGTACGAAATAAAATGATTTCGTTATTATGAGAGGCGCCAAGACACGAGCCCTTATAAATTCCGGCGCGAAAAGGTGGGTTCGGCGGTCGATGGTGGTTAACGTGATAATTTAATTTCTAAGCCAGTGATTCTAGTCGAGATGTAAGTTCCCCGAGCGTCTCGATGCGATTAATCTCCCGCGGAATTCGTAAAATACGTGCCAACCGTCGAGGACGAATCGCGGAAGTTCACGTTTCCGGAAGATGAATCGAATGATAAAAGTGTCTGGCCTCGGCTGCATAAATCTCAAGGGAGGCGGGTGCGGGAGGGGGAAGGGTGCGACAACGCTGAGCCGTCTCCGTCGCGACGTTAAAACGTGTAATTTCGAGCCGCGTCGCCCGTTAAGTGGAAACGTGCGAAATTTTAATTTCTTAACATTTCTTTTCGCCAAAAAATCCGCGACTTTTATGAATTTATTTCTACCCCTTCGAGAGGTCGACGCGATCCAGGCACGAAGAACTTTTATGCATTTTTAAGTATTTTTAACAAAGACTGTTCGTTTCGGTTGATTTATTACCGTTTCGATCCTTCATTAATTTTTTTTATGTCTTCTACACGTGGAATTTATATTTTAAAAGATTCATTTCTGTACATAACGTCGATAAACTCGTTTGAAAGTATAATTTTAAGGTCGCAAACGTTGAGAAAATGCAGCAAATTAATTTCGTCGAGGTGCTGGACTGTGTGGCATCCCCGTAAAAGCCACTTCGGAATGTAATTTCGTATGTGAAAATTAAATTACTTAATGAAACGTTCTCAGCCACGCGAAACACGTAAACAGTCCTTCGCTAGATGGTATTAATAACATGTGAGGCAAGTGGCACAGCGGACGATCTCGCGCTCTCCCAATTATCTCGAGCGGAGAAAAGGGTAAGCGACGTTCGACAGATCGAAATAATAATTAAGGTCGATCGTTGGATCCCTACGGCGACGTTTGATTACTTAATATACGTATACTTAATATATGTATATGTATAAGAATGACCGATGGCGATAAGAACAAGAATGACAACGGTGATAATAAGAATAATGGTAATCTGTTAATAATTAATAAGAATAATATTAATAACAGTAATAATATACATATCTGTGTACAATGTGTATAAATACAAAGTATCGTGTCTTCGTTTAATCCGTTACTAATTTTCGTGTCGCTTAGGTTCAGAGACGGTACGTATGTAAATATTAATTAGAATGATCCTTAGACATTTTTTTTCGGTTTCCATTTTGTAGGTAGTCGTTCCAGAAACGTTGCCCTTATTTTCTTCTATCCCATTAAATTTTCTTCAACGATTACTTTTATTTTGTCTGCGTTACACATCCTCATTAAACTTCTCACGCTTCGAGTAACATCATCGTGTGTACGTAGGTTAAGGTAATTAGGTACTGATACGCATACGCAGTCACGCACACACGCGCACATATACAGAGAGATTCTTGGAAAAAGTTTGGTTTGCAAAATATGTCACCCGATCGCCTAAAGCGATCGACGTCGTCACACGTAGTCTCGTAAATGTATTTAATTGGGAAAAACGATAGCGAGTTACGATAATTAGTAGATCGTGTTTCACGGATTCGCGGTAACTCTTCGTTTGGGTCTACTATAAATCATCGAATAATATTTTATGGACGATATGCACTGGCACCCATGTTCAATGAAGTTGTTAATTGTAATTTCGATTAAATTCGGGTCCAATGTTCGATAAGTGTCGCGGTATTGATATTGCCTTTCGACACTTATCGATCATAGTATGTGATTTAGTTTCGATATCAAGTTTTAAATAAATATAATTTTCTCATCCTTTACGGAATAAGTATCCCTTTGCGACTCTCGTTGAATGCAGGATGTGAAATTTATATTTATACATTTTCTCGATAGCAAGTCTATTAATGTCGATTTAAAAAAGTGATATTACCCCTGCAAGTAAATGTTTTTTTGTATCGATGAGCGGGCAGTGTTTGCAAAAAACTGCCGTCAATGTATGAATACGTTTAAAAACATCGTCAGTGAAACGTTCGTCGATCAATTTAAGTAGACCCCTCCTCGTTACTGTTCATCGAAGTGTCGCCTCTGGCGCGCCACGCGTTCGAACCCTTATGGCTACCTTACGAGTAACTCGTTTACAGGAAAATCGAATCTCGACCGCTTCGTTTGCTTCGTACATCGACTCTAATTAATTCTGGAACTAACGACGAGGACAAAACGTTTCGATGAAGTATTCTCCGTTTCCTCTACCTATTGCTGTGTATCGACTCCAAATTAGAGTCGTTTCGATGATCGATTCGTTGAGAAAGACCAGGAATCGGTAATACCTTCTTAGCGATCGAGCATTAATTACTAAAAAGGAATGTTCAACAGCCAGAAAATTCGTAAAACTTGAAACTCTATAGAAATACATACATATTTTCCCAGAAAAATGTTTACAAATAAAAAAGGTATTCCATATTTTTGACGGTAAAGAGAATTTTCAAGTAAAAACATTCGAACAAATATTTTTTCCAGAATTTCTACACATATTGTAGGATTTCGAAATCCATACAATTTTTATTTAATTTCTGTGAATTTTATTCGCTATTTCACAAATATTCACGAAATACCACGAAAGTTTATTTCCAAGGGATGTTTTTTCACCCTTAGGGCAGTTTCCACGGCGAAACAAAAATGGATTAGCGTTCTTTGAACTAGCTTTCCGCGAAGTTTCAAATTTCGTTAAACTCACAAATTGACGATATCTAGTTAGTAATTAAGTTCAACTGGAAACGACTGTCAAGCGATTATCTATTCCAGAGCTTCCCCAACTTCGTTTCGATGATCTTCGATGGATCCCGCGATCAAGGGAATGCGCGGCGACCGTTCGACGAGAATTTCTACGGAATCGAATACCGTTGAGTTCTCCTGGAGAAAAAAAGAGGAAGGACTCTCGGGGATTTCCCTGTGTTTATGTAGCCTCGACGATTTCTAGGTCGCGAGCGACCGGTTAGGATCCATGGATCTTCGGATCCTTGCGGACGAAACGAGGGGGAAAAAGTGGATGGAAAGAGCACCGTCGAGTGCCTGATATCGATGGTTGATCGCCTGAAAATATTACGCGCATCCAGCCTCGCGATTCAGAATGTAAATTCCACTCGGTTACGTCGATTCGCCCTCGGGCTTCCCTTTATGCGTTCGAGGATGTAATACCTTTCGAAAGCGTTTCGAACCCCTTTTATTTCGCGCATGACAAGTTTCGAGAAATACAGTCTACCGCGTGATACCAAATTTCGCGTTACGAAAGTGCGCGCGACAAACGTTCGAACGATGAGAATCGTATCGGGAATGCCGGTCACGTTCCGTGGTAATAATTGGAGAAAAATTGCGAAAACGAGCGCAGACGAGAGGGAGATCTACTCTGGGAGGAATTCTGAATCACGGTGGATCGGGACGAACCGCTTTCGAGTGGCAAAATTGCTACCTACCCTGCTTTCAAGTGATGAAATCGATACATAACTCGGCTTCGAGTTACAAGACATTACTTATTACGGTTTCGAGATACGAGGACTCTTAGGTGTCTTATTTTGATAAAATTGATACCTCTCGGTGATAAAATTGATACCTGCCCCGCTTTCGAGTGACGATGTGGCTAGCTACCCCGCTTTAAAGTGACAATTCGACTGCGGCGTTTCATGTTGGCGCGTGAGTGACGTGCGCGCGGGTTGCTCTCGAAGTGATTGCACGCGGTTCGACAACTGTTTGAAAATCTTTCCATCGGAAATGCTTCCCTTTTGCCGCTATTGCATTGTTTGAGAAAACAGGAGGTAATTAATATTCCATAATTATTGCGGATGAATTACTGACCGATTTGTTGCAGCGCACGCGATTAAATTAATCGCACTTTGGCTTTGATTATCGAACCGCTTGAAACTGTAGAAAATACTCGTATAATGGAACCCAATAGTTGAAATTGTTACGATTAGTATGCAAGGATTTCGAAACAGGAGTTCACGACAAGTGGTGCGTTTTTGGGGATGACGAGTAGAAACAAAGGTATTAAAATTGAGAGTAGAACAATTACACGATAAATTTGATTGCATTTTTTGACAACCATCAAAGGAACAATGGACGTAGCAAAACTTAGAATCTTTTCGCTGGAATCATTGAAGCTAACTCCACGACAATAATCCGTTTATTGCGAAGAAACACGTTTTCCACCCGCGATAATTGATGAAACGCTGTGAATTCTTTACATTTATCATCCCTTACAGCTAAGCAGAATACTTTCCACTTATCATCCCCTGCTCAACAATCGATGTCCTTTATCGCGAACGAAATTGCTTTGCTCCAATCGCTAAGAATCCTTTGCACACCATAGTTTAATGGTGTATCATTAACAGAACATACAATTACAATTTAACAGAATGCTTTCTACTTATCATCCCCTACACTACGAATACTCTACATGTACCATCCCCTTCGCGTGAAAAGCGCGATTCCACGATGCAACATTCATTTTTTTTTAGACGCAACGAATTGGCTAACTGAAAAGCGAAGCATTTTCTGCTGCATTTTCGACGCAGAATTGTAGAAGCGAGGTCGATCTCTAACGAGTCACCGAAACTAGCCGAATTTCGGTCAGGTTGGTGCAGAAATCCGTGGAAATTTTTTATTTGAATTCCTCATGGTTGCAGCCGCAGAGTCGAACTTTAATCTGCGTTATAGAGATGCCACGATGGTAGAAAAAAACACCGGGGAAATTCTTTTTTCGAATTCATTCGGCATATATGCGCGCGGCGTGTCGTTTATGTCGATCATTCGGAGTTCGATCACTATTTTTCGTAACGTCGCAACATCGATGAATTTCGAAAAGAAAAATGCACCGATGAATTTAAAAGGAATTCCGTGAAATAACATTAAAAGAAAAAAAGATATCAGCGCCTTTGATGCGATCTTTAGATTCACTCACCATCTTCGACGACCCGTTCCATACCTGAAATATCTTCCTCGTGATCGTTTCGTGTACCGAAACCGGGTAAGCGAGGCGTCCGCTAGGTGCGATAATCGGTCCAGAAGAATCCAACGGATCAAAGGGAAGCGCGAGCAAGTTTCGACGCGAATTGATCGGTTACGGGGGCGGCGCGGTTGGTGCGCTTCTACGAGGCTGGGAAGCGTTAAATTATAAAGCGGCCCATCGAGAATTGGCGCCCCGGCGCGCAAACATTGCGTAATGCCGCGTAATAATTGAAACCGCGGCTTTCTGTGCTGCGCGTTCATCTTTAAACGTGATCCATGGTAATCGAAATTAATGTTTAAAACCGCGTGAACTGAAATTCACCGTCGAGAGTCGTCTTTTTTTCCATATCGAAAACTTCTTCACACGCTGCAACACGTATTTCTGATCATTGATGTCCGAGAAACGTCTACGTGTATTATTATTACTATTATTAATAATATTATTATTACGTGTCGTGTACGTTCGGTGACAGAGATTCGTGCCTCGGTAAGAGAACGTGGCCAGCTTCGCGTTACCTCTTCTCTTGCTTTTTCTGTGTCCATGCATGTCTGGAGGTGTGGCAATTGCGCTACTCTAGTGCGCAACAGACTCCTGTGTAGGTTACATACATCAGACATGTATTTAACAGATAATAATTTCCCCACAGTGATTGATAACCTCGTATTTAAAACTATAAACAAAGATGTATTTTTTCCCAGAAGTTCATGCAAACGAGATTCCGCGCCCCTTAGTCTACGCGACCGTCACGTGACCCAATAGAAGAGGGAGTACCGCGAAGTCAGCCACGTACCCCTCCCTCGACTCGAACATCTTTCATTGACACTGTACATTGTTCTCCCTCCCCTTACCCCTTATTTAAGTCGTAAAATTCGAAAACTCGTCATTAAACGTTACACGATTGACGGTGACCGCCCCTACGATAAAACGGTGTGCCTACTTAATAGGAAACATGATTCGATTCGCGTGATTTCGTTTTATTTGTCACCGACGATCTTTCGATCGCGCCACCTTGGACTCGCGCCCGCCCCGAGATCTTCGTCCCTTCTGATATCGTACACCGGTGTGCGTATATAATATCGTATGACCAGTACGTATTGTGTGTGTGTGGGGAAGCCGCCCCGAAAGTTTCCGTCCCGTCGGTCGCGCGCTAGAAACAGCCTCGGAACTTGATGTTCCGTTCGTTCGATGTATTCTTCCCCCTATTCTGTCATCTTTCCAATCCCCCCTCCATCCCGTCCTCAGCCAGCAGAGAAACTTTCCACCCGATGTCGTATCTCAGGATCCGTGTATTTCAACTATCTCTGAAACTTCTTTCCTCGTCCTAACTCCTCGACACGAACACCAGATGATTCTTTCCACGTCGTACCAAAAGGAAACAGGAGCTTCCTCGGTCACCCGCAAGCCCCGGTCGGCTGACACTGTACACTGATACTACTTCGCTGGTTGGCTGGAACAAAAAACTCCAGGAACGGCCGCCGCGCGACGTATTATATACACACGCATACGCGTTAACTATACATATCTACATTCACATCGATAATAATGGATTGTCGCGACTTTTAATTTACATTCGGACCGTGCGCCATCTGTCCGAGGAACTCAGTGAAGGAAGAATGCCGCGGGTACTCGTTTCCGTTCCTCCCCTCCGCGGATGGACGAAGACGAGAGGAAGTTTCGATGGAGCGAATCGGGGGAAAAAATTGGAGCGACCGATTTTTCCGGGGCTGAGAACACGGAGAACGACATTTCGCAGTCACGAAGGCTCGTCGAGTGGCTTCATCGAGTAAAACGCACTCGAAAATATTATTCGTAGGTTTTTAGGTTGCACACTCGATGACGGAAATTCGTGTCGACTTGGAGGGAAGTCTATTTAGACATGGAGTCAGGACTTCGTTATTTCGTGTGTTTCGGAATGCCATGGCAATGCGACGATTAATTTTCTACGGTGAGAAGTGTTGTGACATTACGGTATTAAAAGTCGCGGCTTCATGTCACGTGGAAATGAAAATTAATGTAGTCAGCTGGGCGCTACCACTTGCTATTGGTCCACGTCACGGTCGGATATGCGTGGGGGCGTGGCAGTTGCGCGACGTGGCTGCGCTGAAGTCATTATGTCGCTGACTGTCCGACGGAGCGGATCGAACACTCTGAAGCATCTTTACTAGATGGAATTTATTTACATACGTGAAACGAGATGCATGAAGTACTATGAAATGATATTACAGGTTATCATTCTAAGAAATAATAAATTATTCTTTATTGTATACGTTTTATGGCGTACTAAAAACGAATTCGTATGTACAAGGAAAATCTATGGAATACTTATAACGCAATATGTATCAGGATGGTATATCAAATGAAATGCAATTTAAACTTCCACAAGTATTAAGTCTACCGGTATTTGCTTCTTGTTCTTATTAAACCAAAGCATTTAGACAAAGTATAGACATGCATTACAATTCAGACGAATAGCAAGTTTAAACACGGTAATTAGATGTTGCGGCAGGGTCCGACCCGCTCCGTCGAGCAGTCAGTGGCGTAATGATACTGCGCAGCCGTCACATAATGCGCGGTCAAATCAGGCGCAGATTAGGAGGGGGGTAACGCCTAACTGGCCCTATATAAGCCGACACGAATTTCTCACGGAGTGCACAGTTAGCTCGAAACGTAGCGTAGCAATTTCCTCGACTCTGTCGAGGTGCCCGCGAGGTTCCATTCGTCTTCGACGATGTCGTTGTGAATTGACAACTAGTCGGAAGTTGTATCCGATCGAGGGAGAAGTAGCAGCTGTCGCTGACACACGGCGGTCCGGGACACCTCATAGAGGATTCATGACCACCGCGGGCAAATCGTGTCCCGAACACCTTTTCATCTCGAGCTCTTCGTGACTCGCACGTTCGACTGCAGATTGATAATGGTGTACATTGAATCTGCAGACCTCACGAGTGTTGGTGGCACAAAAATAGCAATCTATTTACGTCAGTTTGTAATAGCTGAGTCCCTGTTGGGTGTACCCCGAATAAATCTCTCCTTGTAGTAGCCTGTTGGCTACAGAGTCTCATGTACACTTGGTCACGATGATTCATGCTCATCTGGGAGAGAGTTATCAGCTTAGGCAGACGTTTGCATAAAGAAAACGGGATCGTGATTAATTCTGGCGCTGGGAACTTTTAGAAGAGCAGGAATCATTTGGTCAAGCGTAACACTGACTGTGGCTAGTATACCATGGTAGCTTTGGGTCACTCAAGCCTTCACCATCGACTTCTTGTTGTATGACTGGTTGGTCTAGGCGGCGAAAGACATGGACCTACGTAGTATCCCTAACTGAAGATTTAATTGCAAAAATGTTGTATGTAAAGTTCATTGAAGAAATTTCACAAGATGTGCGCTCGGAGAATTTAATTGCTCCATTGATACATCCATTTATTTTTAATATTCCATAACCGCGAAATAAAATAAAATTCACGCAATGAAGAGTTAAAGCTCCAATATTCAATAAATCTTCTCCCAAGCAGGCCCTGATCTGTCGCTACCCTGCAGCCAAGGGCGCTACCATCTTAACACGCTCGTACCCTGACGAGGTCGCCATATGTGTTCCACCAAGCACAAGTGGCCTAACCAAATCTCAAATTCCTCACCAAGGATTTCCTTCGTGATCCCATCCCCGGCACTAGCTTTCCGCGAATCTCGACGATTCCGTCTATCTCGAGTTTCACCGCGTCAGAGATGGGCAACCTATTATTCCGAATAATAAATGACGAATAAAGCCATCGTGTAGCGATTTATTCGTGACGTTTATCCGATCGGGCAGTCTGTAATTCAAATTCTGATTCTCATCGCGTAGCCAGTAGTCGAACGCGGTTTGTCTGGCGACACGAGCACAATCTCCTAGCTTCTACCGCTGATCGAGAAAAGGAGAGGGGTCCGAGCCCTCGGGATCCTCCTTGTTTATCAAACACGAACGCACCGGAAGCTAGTTGCCAAATTGAAACAACCAGCCCACCTACTGACTACTCGTAATTCCTCATCGCGATCGTAACACACAATCCCCTGTCCCTGCGTCGTTGAGTTCATTTTGATTCGTTACGCGATGTGTGTATCTAGATAAGAAATTTGTCCATTTGCCGCGCCCAGGTACGCACCCCCACCGCTTCAGCTAGGGGCTTTGGGCCTCTTAGACGTCGCCGGGCGTTCAAGTCCTTCCTTCGACCGTCCTCCTCGTTTCCCTTGCGACGAGGATACGCGCGATCGATCCCTCTTCGCGGTACCCAGAACCCGCTCGGAATTCGAGGAGCAGTCGAGGAATGACCTGGTTCACTTGAACAGTATCCTGCGGAACGCGCGGCGAAAGTCCTTGTTGAAGACGGTGTAGATGAAGGGGTTCAGGGCCGAGTTCATGTAGCCTAGCCAGAAGGCTATGACGAACGCCTGCGAGGGTATATCGAGGTACGGGAACAGGGGCTTCACGATGTAGAGGACGAAGAACGGCAGCCAGCAGGCGATGAAGCTGCCCATTATGATGCCGAGGATCAGCGTGGCGCGTTTCTCCTTCTTCCTCGCCAGTCTCCTCTTCTCTCTCTCGGGGTCCCGGGGTTTCGACTTCGCCTCGGCGGCCTCGTCCTTCGCCGAGTGCCGGCCGACGTCGCCGTGCTCCCGTCTCAGCTTGGCCAGGTTCCTGCGACCGAAAATCGGCTGGCATAGTCGCAGTTTCAGCGGTTTCACCACTGCGCACCTGGACACCACGCCGCTGTCCGACGACGACGGGTCGAACTCGGAGACCATGTCGACGTCGATCCCGACGCTCGGCGCCCGGCACCGCGGCGGGACGCTCGACTGCCCGTCGCCGTTCACCGACATGGTCGCCTTCAGGATGCTCTTCGGCATCGGCATTGGGATCGCCACCTACCGACAAGAATCGCCAAGATGAGCGTTGGAATTTCATTTTGTTCAGGAGACAAAATTTTGTTTGATGTCTTTTTACCGCGCGAAACTGAGGTAATATTTAATAATTATATATTTAAAAAAGCGTTCCGCTAATTTTGTCCAGTAGTTTATTATAAAAGTGTTGCTGGACTCAGTGTTTTCCCTTATTTCTCTTTAATTTCACTCGAAGGGATACGCGAATTGGATAAGACACGAATAGGTGAAACGGGAGCGCAAATCAAAGGCGCTTGTTACTCGGTTCGGCGTCGATAACGAAATAGACCGAGCGAGGAGCGAACGGTCGGGTCGGAAAGTGATCGATATCGATCATGGATTTTCGGGTCCTCACTCCTCTCTGCGCCTCGGGAGTCGAGCTACTCGATCCACCCAACTTTCCGGACGGAGAGAGGAGCACTCTGCCGGCTCGATCGTTGCTCCTCGCTCGGTCTATCTAATTTATTTAACCCTATAATGCGCGATAAGTTTTATATCATTGAAACAAAAACAATGCGTAATACTGGAATCTTAAATGATTTTGTGTTGGCTAGACTGTTTCACAGTTAACAAATTTTACGAATGACTAATGCATATACTGCCCATTTTCTATTTTGAAATTGTTAATAAGAAATAATACTAAATGTAACTACGTGATGCATTTATAAATCAGTGCTCACTATTCAAATAGTATTTACATCTTGTCCGTTTGGGAAAGATACAATGTAAAAGGATTATTTCCGAAACGCACCCTCTCTATTAGGCCGATTTTCTTTATTATCCTGAAACACGATAGAAACTGGGTAGTTTTTGAACCTTGAGCGTGTCCTTCTCCTCCAGTGGTATGCTGTTACCCCCGCCAGGGTCTGGCTCGGAGGTGCTGACGTCGCTGGCGAAGTCGCAGGTGACGATGACTATCTGGACCGGTTGGTTCTCGATGGTGGCGACGTTCTCCATGACGGACCCCGGCGGTTTCTTCGTCTCTGTGGCGGGCGTGCTCTGAGTGAAGCTGGTTTGCCTGACGTCCGGTGACTCGGGCGGTGCCGTCGTTCGGCGTCGCGGCTGCTTCCTGATGCCGCGACGCGCGCGAGCCTTCGCCGCGAAGTATATACGTATGTACACGAACACCATGATGCACGACGGGATGTAGAAGCTTCCGAGGGCGGAATAAAGGACGTAGCCGATGTCCTCTGAAAGCTGGAACAGAAACGAATGAACATTGAATGGCCCCCTTTGTTGGAACGGTTCCTTTGTCTATGCGCGGAGAATCGAAATAATTTATCGTTTGATACTTTATCGCGACGCTCCGTTACACGCGAAACGGACGAGCAATTTATTATGACGGCCGTTTCCTTTTTCGATCGTTTGCTTCTCGTATGCCCCTCGATTAGGATGTTTTCCTTTTTTTTTTAGATGGAGCGTGAGATTAGATCGCTGGATAAAGACTTTTTGAAGGTTCGAACAGATTCCTGGGGTAGTTTTGAATATCTAGGGTTGAGATTCATCGATGCCTTTCATTTAATTTGTTGAAAATTGAGACGAAGTTTGTGAAATGATATTATGAAAAATCTTTCAGGTTACAAATTTGATCAAGTAATTTCTATATTATACTACATAGAATATTCTTGAATTTAATAATGAGTAAAAGAATTAAATTTATTAGAGATGTACAAGGCCTAGCCTGGACTCACGGATGGATGGCATGTTTTAATATTCAGAAATTAGTATTATGAATTCTACTCTGCGTTACAAATGTTCATTCGCGGGCCATTTAGGGATTGGATCCCCACTTTGGGAAACACTGGTACAGATGGAAATGTCGATCAGTCGTAAAGTTTAATTTTCATTTTCTACAATGTCATCTTCGACGACCGGGAGGAAATTGAATGAATCCTGCTGGAAATTTCGTGGTATTTATCCCCCCCCCCCCTCCCACCTCCGCCGTTCGCTTTTCTCGCATCCCCGGGATTATTCTCTATTCCGACTCCTATAGAATTTGTCGTGATTCCCCAGGAAAGATGAAAAGTCGGCACAGGGAATGATAGAAATTATGTATAGCGGGGATCAACGGAGCCTTCAGACGCAGAAATTATCGCGGACGTACCCCCGCGCGTTACAACTACGACGGAATCAGAAAAAAAGAGAGCGAGGGAAAAGGAAAAATTCATTCAAGTGGTCCCGTTGATACCCTCAAAGGGGATCTTCTATTTTCCAGGGGGGTGGAAAAAGTTGATTGTCTAATTCAACAAAATATAGGATCAAGGTTACGTGAAACGGGAGCGCGCTGATCCATTTTTTTTTACGACCCACGCGACCCGGGGAACACTGTGAAATCGGTTCAGGAGGTAACTATGACTCTATCCGCCATTTTATCGCTGTATAAAAATTTCTTAACCATCTGGCAGTTGTAAAACCTTCTAATTTTCGGTATCAGTTGAATTTAAAATATCCACTCCATTTTAAAAAGATAACTCCGTCTGATTTCCTTATGATTTCCTTAGTCACCGCAAAAAAAAAAAATAATAATATTTTTCACATCAGGAAAGCATTCAAAAGAAATAGTAAAAACCTCAAATACATTATTCTCGCCCTTCACTCGGAATAAATGGTTAAGTAAATGCTTGCTCATCGACGAGAATCAAATAGAACTACCCTCTCGACAGGACCCTAACGAACAGCTCGTCAGATTCTCACACCTGAATCGCTGTTTCACGCGATCCTCCCCTGTCCATCCTAAAATCGAACGAGTAAATTCCCTCTACCTTCGTCTCGATTAACCATCGCAGCCGTCGCTTGCTGCACTTCGGGGCGATCGCAGTCTCTCGTGGAACGATTAGCACGTATAAAATTTAATCTCCCCGACGGTGGACGTTTAATCTGCCCCCTTTTCGCGGCCGCTGGCCGTTTTCCTCTTCATTCGTGCCGTGGGATTGGCTGGATGGTCTCGTAAACGTGGCATTCGCCGGACCGCTTTTTCTCGCCCATGGCTGGGCCAAGTAGATTGAAAAGGAGCGAAGGGTGTGAGGCCACGGGGATGGCAGGTGTACCGCGTTGCCGCGCAAACACGCGGAATAACGAGCAGTTCCGGACGGGAATTTATGAAAGCGCGAAAGCCAGCGCGTGCCTGGCCTTAGGGAACTTACTTCACTGCCACTTTTAACGAGCCCGGGGGCGCGGAAGATCGTCGCGATTTATGGAGACAAACCCGTGATTTTCTTGCCGATGTTTGGGATAATAGAGGGAAGAAATTCATGGAGCAGTGCTTCCACCTTGGCGAGAACGAATTTGGTTAGACGGTGGATGGAAGCTTCGTTGGAACGTTGAAACTGCAGGGAGTCTATAAGTGTCGTGGACTCGAGTGTGAACGATGACACTTGAAGGAAAAGGTGGGTGAAATTTGATTAATCAGGTCTTGAATCGCTAGAGAGCATGGGCTCGTTGAGGAAGTCGAGAGGGAACGATTCATATTTATATTATGGTTCAACTGCTTTGGCGATTCATCGTTGAGACGACAAGCCAAATTCCATAGACACGTAGGGATATACACGAATTTTTTAGGGGGAGAATTATTAGACCCAACATCCTCTGTGTTTACTACTCTGAGATGTCAAGAGAGTCGATACAGTAAATATTGGCTATTCAAGGTCACCCCTCGATATTGCCGTAGTTTAACAATAAAAAAAAAAGAGAGGGAACGGTACTTGTTATATAACGTAATACTAAATTCCCTAAAACACATATTTAGACCTTTCCTTTTTCCTAAATTGACAATCTGTCACAAACTTCTGGCACACAATCAGGAACACTAGTCCACGCTCTGGAAATTGTTCGATTCACTCCTAATAACGCGAATGCGTTGAAATGTCAAGACGAGTGTTTCTTCTCGGCATTGTCCCGATTCGCTGTTTTCATCAGTCAGGGTTTTTCGCTGCGGAATTGTCCATCATGGCGAGCGAAGAGGGAAAGAAACAGTCATTCGGACGCTGACGTCAGGCGTCGGGCGTCAGACGTCGGCTGTCCGCCGCGCGCCACCCAACCCTGCCCATCCTTTCTCGGGAAATTTCACGGTTCAGGGACGCCTGATGTTTTTTTTCTCTGTCCTGAATCTCGCGTTTACACTCGCGGTTTTCTTAACGAAGAATTCATTTCTTTTTTTTCCTCGAGGCGAAACGGGAGGGGCGTTTTGCGCGCAAAGTAATAAGCAATCTCGAGTAGAGCAAATGGAATCATGAATAACAACGTTCGTTAGAGTTCGCCATTGTGTCCAGATTCGTTCCAATAAAGGTTCAAACGAAATCAACCGTGGGATGCAATCTGTACGTTTGTAAAGTTCGCGCGGCTCATAGGTAACCTAAGCCTCTAATCCATGGATTTTATTTTATTCCTCAAAGGATAAACTATTGATACATTGTTTACGCTCTTGCGAATTGGTTAATATTCGAACTAATTAATAAGCATCTGTAAACGGTATATCTGTAGATGGTATGGTAGAGAATTCTATCGGTAATATAGCATACTCTGTCGGTAGGACTCGGTAATGTAGAACCGTAATTGTTCTACGTTGTCATCGGGCCGATCTTTCTTGTCAAGCGAGTGTGCTCCATTACCAGCTGAGCTACCTGGTTTATCAACCCAGTGATCAACGATAACCAGCCTTACTTCATACATTTATCCACAGAGTATTGAATGTTTATTTTATCGTCTCGTTTAAAACCACTCATATTCTAGAAATTAATGTGGGCTTGATTACGACTATAAACGATTTGATCTGTAACAATACTGACGCTGCAGGTAAAAGAGGATTTACATATTCAGGAGCTAATATATGTATGGATAAATATAGTAATTAATATGCACTAATGTACTGAATATCACGACCCCTTTTATTCGATTTATTCATTCCTGATCTGCGTCATGTCTGTAAGTTATATTTGGTGGGCATACTACTGAAAATGTTTACCATATCATTAGAATGTTTAGCATGTTATCACATATACACCAGTTAATATTAGCACTGCACAAATATTATTGGATAATTGTTGAGTAACCACTGCTCTATTACTGTTCGATATAATAAACCTTTGTCATTACATCAACAAAGTTCAATTCACAGTCGAGTGTAGAATAATGTGACGGCAATGTTGACAGTAACACAAAATAGGCAATCGTGCTTAATTGACCTCATCGCAAAGAGCCGAAACGTATAATGAATTCGTCAGAGCTCAGGTTTTCAAACACAATATAATTCATGCATTTTATGGCGTGTATTTAATACACGCACGGTTAATAAATACATTAAATAACAATAACAGCAATAAAGATTGGACGAGTTCGAAGGAATCCACCGAATGACGTCACACAGCGGTAACAATTCAACGGCGGTTGCGCAAACTTGGCCAGTTTCGAACGAACGACGCCATCGCGTTCCCGAACTCGTTTCATCGAGAAAACTGCGGCCGTTTGCCAGCGATTTCAATTATGAATCGCTGATAAACGACGTCGGGTCGCGCCATTGGCTGCACGAGAGATACGTCGCGGTTCGAACGTCGCGTCTTCCGACCGTATCTTTTATGACTGATCTCGAATAGAGCTTATCGTGCTTCGCGCGACCGTACTTTGTCTTCCTGACTCGGAATGAATGCGACATTACTCGAACGCGATTTTTTGCAATCAAAATTTTACTAGCAATTCGACCACTGAAATTACGACCACGTTCATCGTTCAATGTCCATTGTTTATTCTACATTCACTGTTGTGTATTATGCAACATGAAATGGTCAATGTTCAAGGGATAATGATCAATTTATAATGGACAATGGTCACTTTATGTGGGATAGTGGTTAATTTATAATGGGCAATGACCAATTCATGTGAGATAGGGGTCCATTTATAATGAGCAATGGCCACTTTATGAGGGATGGTGGTCAATTTATAATGGATCATAGTCACGTTATGATTTATAGTGGTCAATTTATAATGAACAGTGGTACATTTATGATTGATAGTGATCAATTTATAATAGAAAATGGCCAATTTATAATCGACAGTGGACAGTGGTCAATTTACAACGAACAATGTCCTCGTACAATGATCACTGGAGAATGGGCGCCAGACTGAAATGGACGCCACTGTCGAAAATCCCCAGGTTGAGTTTTTAAAACGAAGCTGATCGTCCTTTTTTGGTAACAACACTTTCG